AGGCGCTACTTATTGTCGCCTGCACGGCCCCTGCAGCTCCTCTCTGCCACAGCCCTCGCGCTGCGGGGTGGGAAGGATGGATGGGGAAAGCGCCTGTCCCCCCTCGCCAGGCATGAGCGCTGCAGGGGGCTGGGGGCTGAGCGTTGGGGTTGAGGAGCTGCCCTGGATGGGGGATGCAATGCCCTCCTGGCTCCCGAGGGACCCGTCCTCATGACGGGCAATGGCTGGCGCTAACAATAGCGCGTCAGGAAACGCCGCGTTCGGACGGTGCTTCCTTTGCAGGCACGCAGCACCCCGTGCTCCCGAGCTGGTTTGCTTTGCTCCAAACGAGAAACCTCCAGGGGACTCAGTGCTGCGTTTCTGAGTGCTTTGGGTCTGCTGTTCAGCTTCTGCACCAGTTCCAGGCAGATTTTTCCTAGCCTTGGGATATATACTAAGAGCACGTGGCTTAGCTGCGCTTGCTGCAATCACTGCCCGATGGTTTTGCTTTCAAATTCCTATTTTGTTTGGTTTACGCCGGGAGCAGGGCGGGTAGTGCGGACCTGGGCACGGCCCTTTGCAGCCCGGCTGCTCCTTTAGTTTTCCAACCGTGTGAGAAGGGATGTTTGCAGATTGGATGTTGCGGGGGAGGAAAACAGGAAAATGACTCGCAATTCCCCTTGCCCCCTTCACCCGAAGCCTGATAGCAAGGTCACGGTCAGAGAAGAGGTGGCGGGGGGGGCGGTGGGAGAGGCTGGGTCCCCCATGCCTCCCTGCCGCTGGGATCGGGGGGCAGAGCTCAGCGTTTGTCCTTCATGTCCACAGGCCCAACAAGCCAAATTCCTCAGTGATGTGGAGAACGAGCTGGAGGAGCTGGCAGTCACCATCGCGCAGGCCAAGAAGATGGTGGAGCTCATTAAGGTGACTCTGCAATGGCTTCGCTCCGTTAGCGCAGCTCTGCTGAGCCGGGGAGCGGTGGCGAAGGGGCTGTGAGCTTCTGGGGTGTGTGGGGTGTAGAGGTGGTGCTCACAGGGGAGCAAGTGCTCTGTAAAATGATGGCGACCCAGGAAAGGATCCCTGAGGATCCTTGTTTCTCATCTGTGCTAACTCTCGTGGCATCTCTGGTTGCTTTCATTTGCAAGCTGGAAGAAGGAACGGGGCAAGAGCTCTGCCAGGGCTTCCGCTGGCTCTTGCACCTTCTCTCCCCAGGCTCCTGGGGGTTTTGGTCCCCTTTGCCCCTTGTTCAAACATGTCATTTCACCACCTGGGGACAGGAGATGTGGTGGAGCAGTAAGCAGCCATGCCCAGCAAGTTCCCTTGACACCTGGGTTGTAAAGTGCTCTGAGTTCTTGGGCGAAGGGGGTTAGGGGGTGTGAGGAGGACCCCGCAGAGCTGAGAACTGGGTGCTGGGCAGGGGACAAGGGTGCTCTCCCCTACCCTCGCCTGCAGGAGGTAACCCTCGCCCCTCTCTCCCTGCGCTCAGGGCGCCGCCACAAAGGAGAAAAAAAAAAGCTCTTTGCAGAAGCCTCCGAGGTCCTGGCGACCTTCCAGAAGGAGGTGGCTGGTTTCATCGAGGATGGGGAGCGCTCCATGCTGGGGGAGGCCGAGGCCGATCTCCGCTGGAAGGAGGAGAGGCGAGCCAAGCTGGCCCAGTGCAAGCAAAACCTGGAGAACGTCCCCAGCACCGACACCATCTACTTCCTCCAGGTGCCTGGGTGGGATGGGGCGAGGAGAAGGAGCCGATAATGTTGCCTTTTGGGGTTTTGTCCCCTTTCACGTGGACCTGGGTGCCAGGAGCCTTGGGACACAAGGGCTGCAGAGTCACAGTCCTGTTGGCACAGTTCCCCTCCCCGCTCCCGGGCGGACCAGGAGGCTGAGACTTTCTCCTCCATCACCCCCACCTCCATCCTGGCCGTGACCCAGGTGAAGCCGGTGTGCTGCCCTGGCTGGGTACCTTGGTGTGGGGGGCAGAGGATCGGAGGTTGGGGTGCCCCGCTGTCCCCATGTCCCCATCCAGCATCCCCCCCTCCCTGGCAGCCCAGCAAGAGGAGACCTTTTTGGGAGAAGATGCTGCTCCATGTGAGGTGGGCACAGTCTGGGTCCAGCCTTGAAAGGGAGCGAAGAGAAGGCGCCAGAAACGCGCGGATGGGAAAGCGCTCTCCTCCCTTATGCAAAGCTGTCCTTGGGCCAAGTCCTGCGAGCTGCCAGTTCCCAAATCCTCTGGGGCAGGGTGGGGTTGTGGAACAAGAGACAACTTCGGTTTGTTTGAAACCTCCTGAAACTCTGTCTTTTTGGCTCAGGAATTTCAGGCCTTAAAAGTAGCCATGGAAGAAAACCTCTCCCCGTCTCTGAGCTTCCAGAATGAGCTGAACTTCACCAAATGCACCCAAGCCGTGGGCGCCGTGAAGGATGTGCTGTCTGCTGCCTGCAAAAACCAGTGGGACCACTTGCAGGGGAAAGGAATCGATGGGCTGAGTTTCCAGGACATGGAGGAAGGTTTGTGTTCACCCAGCAGCCCCTCTGCTCAGAGGTCACCCCGTCACCCTCCATCCTCCCTGTGTAGGTGGGAGATGTCTGCAGGCTCGATGGCTCCTGCGAGCGCTGGCCCCTCTCCCGTCAGCCCTGGAAGCTGCCCGGCACGGTTGTGTTGCACGTTGCACAATCCCTGTCTGGGCTTATGCCTCGTCTTTGAGGTTTTATGAATTTTTCCACAGAGACCGGAGACTGGAGAGGCAACAAACAGCCTGGGAGTTAGGCAGGGCCATGCGGGAGGGGGCAAGTGGCCAAAGTGGCCTCCTGTGAAAGGGGACTCTTTCTTCCCAGGATAGATGATCCTCTTCATGGGGCAGGCTGTGGTCTTTCAAACCTGCCAGGGTTAGAAAGCCACTGTGGCAGCTTTCTCCTGTGCTCTCTCGTTTCGCCTGAGCTCTCTCTTCTCTCTCATTTTCTTGGATGCCTGTGGGAATTGCAGCCGGGTTTTTGTCCCCCTTGCCCGTCTCCCTGGGGTGGCAAAATCTGCCCTTTCCCGTGTCCAAGCTGGCAGGGATGTGCAGGGGATGCCGGGAATGCCAGTTGGGCACAGCAGCTGGGTACCACCAGGCTGTCGGGCAGGGGGGTCGATGCTTCAGTAACACCTTTGTTTGTGGCATCGGTTCCTTTGCTGATGGCAAACCCTTCTGTCCCTGTCTCTGCAGCGTTGGCCGAGTCCAGGTTTCCAGAGAAGTCAAACAATCCCGCCTGCCTGGAGAGCCGTGATTACTTCCTGAAATGTAAGTGAGGGACATTTTGCTTTGACAGTTGTTGCTAAGGTCCATCTTCCCTTTCCCCTCTCCTGGCCGGCCGGCTCCTTCCCGCACGCTCAGCCGGCGCTGCTCCCAAGCCGACGGCTGGCAGGAGCACTGCTCCTCTGCTGCCACCAGAGGAAACATTGCTCAGCTAAGGAGGAAGCCTCCTTGCTTTCCTGACAACAGTCATAATCTGTTTAGATGATATTTTTTTTCCCTTGTCTGTGGTTCTGCCGGACCAGCTGCCGGGGAGGGGGGGGGGCTGCAGGCATACCATGTAATTTCTGCTGCCTTCCAGCCCTTGACAAATTGGATCCTCCGTTAAATTCGATCAGAGTTTGTGCGTCGGCCTTGTTTGCCGCAGAGCAGCAGACTGATGAGGGTCAGCTTCAGGGGCAGCAAGCAGAGGGATAATTCAGTGGCTGAGCAGAGACAGTGGGGCAGAAGGGGCTGAGGCTGGAGGGGGCAGGGCGGGACTTGGGCTCCGACACCACACACGGCCCCCTCCAGCCTTACAGGGGATGTGGGGTCACCCACTGGCTCGTCCAGAGGGGACAAGATCTGCCTCGGTGGCACCAAGGGTGTGCTGTGCTGCTGCTACAGGGTTTGGACAAGCCAGGGGTTCATTCCTGCAAAGCAATCGGCAGTGATACGTGTCCAGGGCTGTTCCTGCCGGACGTCCCCTCTGTTCGGGATCCAGCAGGGGTTCTCACATGGCTCCGTGTGCTGGGGGCTGCCTCTGCTCCCACGGGAGCCGTAGTGCAGCGAGGGCCGACTGCACGGAGCGGTTGTTTGTAGCTGTGGTGTGCCTGGCTGCTCTCCGGTCTTCTTGAGGTCCCTCCCTGCTGCGTTTGTCTGTGGTAGCAGAAACCCACTTTTACATGGGATGTTCCTACTACCACTCTACCTACATGCTCCAATGTCAGATATCATGGTTGAGCGCATCAAGCAGCCCTTCTGCTCTCTCCTCTGCCCATTACCTATATTCATCCTGCTAATGGCAGTATCAACTCCTTCAGGCCCTTGTCCTCCTCGGCTGAAATTGGCCGTGGGATTTAAAAGCAAGGGGTTAGAGTGATGGCAGAAGTCAGAAAGGATCATGCTAATTGCTGAAGGCTGGAGCTGGGGATCAGAGCGGGGAGGGCTGGGGGGATATCCTCCCGTTTCCCTCCTCATCCTCATGTCTCCTTCTTCCCCCACACAGTCGCCTTCATCATTGACCTGGACAGTGACACGGCTGACAAGTTCATCCAGCTGTTTGGCACCAAAGGGGCCAAGCGGGTGCTGTGCCCCATCCCCTACCCAGAGAGCCCGACCCGGTTCATCAACTGCGAGCAGGTGCTGGGTGTGAACCTCATGAACCGGGGCAACTACTACTGGGAGGTGGAGATCATCGATGGCTGGGTCAGCATCGGTGTCATCGCTGAGGACTTTGACCCCCGGGAGTCCTACAACCGCGGGCGCCTGGGGCGGAACGAGAAGTCCTGCTGCCTGCAGTGGAACGGACAGAACTATGTGGCCTGGTTTGGTGGCTTTGAGTCCGTCATCCAGCAGCCGTTTTTCCACACAATCGGGGTCTTCCTGGAGTATTCAGAGAAGGCCCTGACCTTCTATGGAGTCAAGGACTCCAAGATGACCTGCCTGCAGCAGCTCAAGGTCTCCCATTTTACCAAGGGTCAGTTTGACCCGTTCCAGAACAAGATCAACCACCAATTCGCCTCTCTTTTCTTGTGCAAGCTGAAACCAGCCTTCTTCCTGGAGAGCGTCGATGCCCACCTGCAGATCGGGCCACTGAAGAAAGATTGCGTCTCGGTGCTAAAGCGTAGGTAACTGCCCGGAGAACGGGAGCACGGGAAGACCCACAAGAGTCTCTCCTGTAGTGTATTGCCGCCGTCATGGCTTCTCTTTGGTAGCGTTGTCTTTCTCTGTGGCAGCCCTCCCTCCTCGCTCCGTGCCGTTGGTGCCCCAGGGGTGGCTGAAGCCGTCTGGCGGAAAGAGCCACGGGCTGGGAGCCAGGCGGGAGCTGGATCCGAGCGCTGGCTCTGCTGCTGGGCTGCTGAGCGGACTTGGGCGAGTCTCTGTGCTGCTCCCTGCCCCTCGGTTTCCCTTTCTGGACATCAGGGACCACGACACAGCCTTTCTTGGTAAAGCACATCGCTCAGGAGAAGTACCATGTAGATTTGAAGCTGTACCTTGGCCAGCTGCCGGGCTGCTCGGTCCCTCTCCTTAACATCTCCTCGCACTGCCCTGGCGACTGGCACCAGCGCTCCGCTTTGTGCCTTATCTCGATCTCTGTGTCGCTGCTGCTTTTTTAAGCTCATCGACACCTTCCGCATGCTCCTTATGAAGTGTCTTTGAAGTAGCAAGGCCAGCATGGACCGGGTGAACCCCCAAAGCCGATGCGGTCGCTTCCCCGGTGCCCACATCACCGCTGTGCCTTGGCGTGTGTGAGCGGGGTGCTGCGGGGTGGGTGGGACGCAGAGGAGCCCGGCTGGGTGCAGGAGCGATGCTGCGGTGACGCGGTGCCTCTCCCCGCAGGATTGACCACCAATTAGCGCTGCAAACGCAAAACGAGGATCTTTGCCCTCCCTCGCGCTGCAGCTGGCGGGTGTCTTGAACGCTGGTCTGCAGCCAGGCTCATTTGGGAAAAGCCGTGGTCCCGTGTGTGTTGGAGCCCTGTGGCTGTGGGGCTGTTCCCCACCGCAGCCAAAAATCCCAGCTGGGAAAGGGGAGAAGCCTCCTGTTGAGCAGCAGCAGCACCATTCCTAAAAAATGGGGAAGCGAGCAGCACAAAACAGTTTCGAGGGTGTGTTTTTAGTAAACACATTCCTCGGGAACTGCTTATAGAAGCTTCACAGCCACATTTCCCCCCACGTTTTTGATGACCCTACTATTTTAGGGGTTTTTAATATTATTAAACCCCCAACGCTTAAGAGTACCCTGGGCATACTTGAGCTGTAGCCCTTACCTTAGAGATTTTTAAGTGATGAAGAGGTGCTGTGAGTATGTGCCAGGGGCGAACAGTCTGTTTTAGGGACAGCTTTGAGTGCATCGATAAAAGGTGCATCATCGGTCAGTTATTAAATGACCCTTTAGACTCTGGCAGTAAGTAACAATTAACAAAAACTACTCTCAAGCCAGCGTCCCCCTCAGGAAAGGTGGAAACTTGAGGCTGAGTGCCAAAAATGCCAGTTCATGTGTCCCAAGGGAGCTCTTCCAGAAAAAAATACAGAAACGCCGCCTGTAAGGGCGGCACAGTGCAGCCCCTGTCTCAGCACAGCGTGCCTTTCCACGAGTTTATTTTTTCTGGGATTAGTTTGCTACCTACCTCCCGAAGCTTGCTTTACAGAATCGTAGTGCTGTCTAATATATACCTAGAGAGAAAATATATTGGGTCAGGTCCTTCGCTGGTGTGAGTGAGTCAGTGATGACGCATCAACGGTCAACAGGGATGGAAAACGGCCCGTTTAGCTAAATATATGAAATATATATATATATATTCCCCAAAGGATAAGCTGGAAATCATAGTGGTATATTCAAGGGGAGCCAAGGGAAAAAAGTGAACGTGAATAAAAAGGCAGCCACAAAGCCGAGAGGTTTAAAGTTAAAGCCACGTTTACATAAACACTGAGGCTTAAAGAGCTCTGTTACTGTAACTCGTGTGCCAACGCTGCCAATTCCTCAGGAAGAGGTGCCAGTCCCCAGCAAACAGCCACCGCTGCGGGCTCTTGTTGGGGGGGCTGAAGGGTTCGAACACATCTGCCCCCTCCCCGGGCAGGGCTGGTGAGTGGGTCTGGGAGGGGAACCCCTGGGATGTGCCTGCAAATCCCTCCTCTTCCTCCTCCTCCGCATGCGGTGACTCCTGAAATACTGCAGGCGGTGGGAAAAGGGGAGGTAGGGCTTCCAGAGCGAAATGTTCAGATGAAATCTTGGCCTTTCCCAGCCAGTGGGAATGCTGCCCGGACTTCTGTCCAGATGGGAATTCACTCCCCGTGTCTTGAGCTCCTGCCTCAAAACCGCTTTGTCTGGCTCGCGCCAGTCGCTCCCCTGCAAAACTCAGCCTTTGCAGGAGATGTCAGCGGTGACACAGCGCAGGCATCGCTGCTGTTTTACTTAACGCCGGAGAGGACTTGGTATGAGAAATTCCTTACCAGATAAGAAAGGTAGGGACGTGCAACAGCCCGTGCACGGTCACATCCCGAGAGGAAGAGGAAGGTAACCTTGATCTCTGCTGCACGTCTGCAGGAAGAGATCTCACACACGGGCTCCCATCTCGGCTCTGTCTGGGCCCTAAATCTCATTTATTCAGGCAAAACTCCCACCGTTTTGCCAGAGTAAATACAGCAGATCTGGGCCTTTGCCCCCATTTCCGTAGGCGGCTTGATTGCTCCGTGGGGAAACCCGTGCTCCAGCCACGCACCCCTCCCTCCTCCGCCTTGCCCAATGCACAGACGCAAGTCTCGGAACTCCATCAGGGTTTGGGATGGTTGGGCGGGATCCTACCTATTTCCATCCTGTAACCAACATGGGAGCAGCTCAGGAGGACACGTCTGAGTGTTTGGGCTTCGCTTCTGGTTGTGCTGCTACTTTTGCTTAATTCACCTCTGCCCCGAGAGCTGCGATGCCAATTCGCAGCTTTACGGGGGCATTTGAGGGCTCCTGTAGACGCGATGCAGGTGGGAAATACTACCCAACCATCTCCTTCCTGCTGCTTGCTTTCATCCTGGTTGGAAGCTCTACAAATCCTCATGGTTTAGGGCATAAAGCAAATTCCAACCCATTTAAGATGGCAGCAATCCCCC